GCAACAGTTGTTCACCCATAATTGCCTCATTATGCTAGCGGAGTAGTACTTGACTGTAGCTACTCATGATATGTCATCAACTTGACGATTGCAAGAGAGTACCTACTCGGTAGGAGTATGGCACTCAGGTAACTATGGGTTCGCCCATTTTGAGTCATACTTTTCCAAGGCCTAAGACGTTTTAAATAAAAATGTAGTTCTTAGTTCGTAGTCGCCTAGATAAAACTTCAAGGTAACTTAAGTGCGTTTCGAAACGAACTCGTCAAATATAGTTTTATTTGTACGACGGACTAAAAGAATACTTTGTTCAGCTTATGTGGGATTTAATTCTTTTGTCGTAGATTTGATGATAGTTTCTACAATTGTATCACTTCAGAAAGTGAATGTAAATATTGATGGTGCAATCCAGGTTGTTGAAAGAGAAGGACTTTATGTTGATAAATCTTGTATTTAGATGAAAGCTATTTATTTTGTTACCTTCGTTAGCTACCTGCGTCCTGTCAAACAGATTAATTTAATATCAATATTATCATGTCTTTCCTCATAATTCGAAGTTTTTGATCGGTATATCTAAGTGAGCGTTTGCATACTAACTTATTATGTTCATAAATGGCTTTGTTTCCCTTGGGAAATAGGTCATTTGTGAACCTCCACTCCACATATACCCCCCTATTTGGCTTGACCTTCTCCGTTTTATCGGTTCATTAGGCTTAGGCCTATGATGCCTGCCTGGACGCAGTACCATTCTTGTTTTCTCTATAATGTTTTGCTCAATATTGTGTAGAAAGTGGGTGTATTATATTTTTACGTCATACCGATCTTTCGAGGTTTCGTGACCTACTCATATCCATTTCAAGGAAGCAGTTTTGCGTGTTGTTAGTATATAGGTATACTTTAATAGTCCCTGACCTTTATATTGAACAAATGTACTTCTAACTTGTTATTTTAAGTGCATGATGATTTGATGAAAGACAGATATGGAATGTGCATTATATTGTTCCAATCTTATCATGCTTTCGATGTAATCGTAAGTTATTGAAGTGACCGTAGAAAATGAATAGTTTAAAGTACAAGACAAGTGTAAGTGATTACATCGCAATAAATAAAACAGGTTTCACATTTTATTTATTTAAGTTAGGCAGTAAAGTAAATAAATTCAACATATTTGTCGTTTATACCGTTGTTTGAGTAACTTATGTAATCGGAGTAGTCGGCCCGTATGATTAGCCTCTCTAAAAGTATTTACTATCGATATTAGCGCACTAAACCGACGCGTGTCTGTTCAATTATCTTGTAAATCTTCGTAACTTATTATCGCTTCATTTTTGGAACGTACCTTATTAATTTGTAATTTGGCGTCAATTTTGTGTCACAGCCTTGTCATGATGATATCTAATTTTCCAAACTAAACTTAGATGTATTACCTAAATAAACCTCATGGTTAGGTATGACGCAAATCTATAATCCTAATAAAAATATTTATGATGATAAAATCGGGTCTCCACCTCCACAACAAGCTTTATAAATTGTTCTACGTTCATTTTGGAATTTAATAATTGCTATGGATGCAATGCAATCCGAAGTCGAGCTTGCCTCAGTTAGCCATCGCCTTGGATTCGTTCCTACCTTTCACCGATGCCTTGACAAAATTGTAAGACGATCCTCAAGCATCGTAAGCAGATTCCTATACGTAACTTCCACGTGTAGAAATGACGCATTGTATAAGGAGTGCCAGTTATTTCTGGCCTATAGGCATAACTGAAATACTAACTTCTTGGCTTGATGTCTTTTATTGCGTTCCCTAATTGCGATCAAATTCGCAATCATAACAATCTATGAGAACATTAATAGTTTTATGATCATAAAATGCTTTACTAAATACTTCCTTATGTCTTGGTTATGTATTGGCAAACAGTAGTCTCCTCTTGATGTTGAACACAATCTATATCACAGACTCACAATATGTAATTACCCATTGCAATTTGTTAGGTCTTTATTCTTTCAAGGTAAATGAACCGACCAGCGACATAGGTGTTTCTTGTATACAATAACAAAGTGAATATTAATTTGCGGAATGTTTTACACACTTCCTCACGTTTCTTTGACTTGTGATAATAATTTATTGCCCTTATCTTATTCTGTATCTTCACTGAATAACGTAGTATTCACAAGTTCTTTCAACAAATGTTTCTAGTCCTGATTCTGGTATTCTGCTGTACATACATTTTTATTTATTTCCCTTTATATCTGACGTTGAAGTTTCTACATCTGACATTAAAACGTTCCGCTGGAAATCGTTTTTGCCTATTTGTCGAACAATAAATACTGTTGTAGATGAATCATACGATGGCACTCAATAAACTTGCAAGGACAAATATTTGGAAATACCTACTTAATCATATTTTAATTTAATGTCATAAACTCTTTGGTATTAAATAAAATATTTATAATGCTTGTGGTAATTGTCTGAGGAAAATCAATACATAGTATAAAACAAAGTCGCTTTCGCTGTATGTCCGTATGTATGCTTAGATCTTTAAAACTACGCAACGGATTTTGATGCGGTTTTTTTAATAGATAGAGTGATTCTTAAGGAAGGTTTGTATGTATATACATATTGCACCCGTGCGAAGCCGGGGCGGGTCGCTAGTTTAAAAATAAAACTATTTTTAGTTAGTACCTTTGCTACCTTAATCTGCAAAAACTAAACACGGCCATTAATTTATCAAGTTCATAATTCCATTCAATCTTAAATTAGTTTGATACTCTCTAGTTTATCTTCTTGTTACCTGTCTAATAGGTAGTGTAGTTGTGGCATCGACCCCATTGTTTTCTATTTAGTATTTACACACTCTTTACTTGTATTTATGTTCAGGTTTGGGTTTGTCAACTGTGATTAGCCGACTACACTTTGTAATTAACTGTGTAAATAAAATCGTTTCAAATATCGCACCGCTTAGTGGTTGTTTGAACAGTTACTAAACGCCCAAGGTCTTCGCGTTATCTGGCTTTATGTGTCATTATTCCTGATTATGACCTCATCACTCCTCCCCAATGAATTGCTGTATTCAATATAACCTTTTTGAAGACATGAAGTTTTTATCTATTCAGTGTTGTAACGATGGCTACTAAATAATAATTTCGTGTTGTATCGTAATAATTGCATTGTTGTAGTTACGATATCATTCCACTGACCGATAATAAGAGTAATAAATATGGGTTATCATTATCATATGGTCGTGTAGCGTTTTGAAATACTTCCTCAGTATGTTAATGATGTGGATTTTAAATGTGACAAAAACATAATTATATTTCGTTCAAACTATTACCTACTTAATCAAGTGCTATTTTACTAGGTAATGTTTTTGTGAGGACGTGTCGCATGACCGCATGAACAATGTGAATCCGTCGAACGTTGATTCGCTACTGGCTATACTTAATAGGTCATAGGTATTTACATGGAAAAGGTGTGAATTGTAAACGCGTTAATAGCCACAAGAGTCATATTCAAGCGTGAAGTACTTACTGTATGAATTTCGTTGCGGAAGGTAAAGTCATTAGAGCTAACATAAAATACTGAGTCTTACAGTTATGCAAGAACCATTTCAGTGCTAAAAATGTGTAGGCACTAAATTATACAAACGAATTCGTAGTTAAGCTGTTTTAGTTACATTTTAATCTTAATTACTCTGCTAGTGCTAGAATTAACAATTGTATATCTAACAAGCTATTTCTAATTAGAGAAATGATTAATTAGGACTTATAATTTAAATATAACTCCATTTTAAAAGATCCGTACCTTTACGCCGCAATGCACTTTTAGCAAAAACTAAAGTGGGTCAAGGATAGATCCTTGAGGAACGCCTTGTTTGGATTGATATGACGCTAAGACTCTGTTGGTTTATTTTCTTAACTACATACTTATATTTTATGATTGGCATACACTTGTTAACCTTATATTCTAATTGACAAAATGTAATCATTTTAGACTTATCTAGCCTTCTTTATCTTATCATTAACTTGCTTGGTTTCTTCATTGTCCATTTTTTCTGTTAATCTTAGCACTGATTCTTTTTTTCATTCAAAGCTCAATTCTAGGTTAGCTACATATACATACGTACCTACGTTTATTATTAAGTAACATTCGTATACAGTATCATTTGTCTTAACAAGTGATATTTTTTCCGGCTTCTAAATGTCATTAGGTACTACCGGTATTGGCAAAAAATCAAATAAAATACATTGTTAGTAATTAATCGTGATAAATTGTTTGAATATTGTATTGAAAATGAAAGTTAGTGTTGTTGTAAATGTTTTTTTTTAAATTTTAGTATTTTTAACATTATTTATTATATTTGAAAAATTGCCTTTTTTCTTTTCATATCCATCCAACATTGTCTTTTAGCAAACGTCTGTAGCAAAGGGAATGAATTAACCCTTTTTACGAAATACTTATGTTTTGTGTTTAAGCGATTCTACAAAGTTTCATTTCAATATCTTTGTTTATCGGCATTTCGATTAAAAAAATGTTTCGTTAGCAAATCCTGAATACTATCGTCGATAGAATCTTATCGTCCTATCGTGTCGAACACCGTCCTACAATTATTTATTAACATTATTTAGCCACAATCATATCACTATCATGTAATATTTGTATGCCTGACTGTGCTTCAGAAATCATTGCAAATATTCTCATAAGAGGTACACAAATATTTCTATCTCTATAGGTATTCCTCGTCTTAAATTGTTTGACGTTTTTAACTTCAAGATATTGTTTATTAATTTCTTTAAGTGGCGTAATGTCTACCATGAATGCAAGGTAATATAAAAAATGTAATTCCTTCACAGTGACTAGGTAACTGGGTAAAATATATTTAAATCAGTCAAGGAGAGAAAAATCTATTGTTCATTGTATTAAAGTTAGTCGTGGTTCCATAGTTGACATCCTATCATCCTATTCAGTTAGCTAGTGACTCAACTATTGGTGATGGTGACAAAATAATGTAGTATGTACCTACAACACTTCCTACAAATTATAATATCTATGTTAATCAAAATACCACGCGAAATCAAGATTAACGTGTGTAATCATACTAAAATATCGAGTTTGATAATCTATCAGTTCGATAGATAATAATGTGATTCCAGTCACCTCTAAAAATATTATTGTTTTTTATCGAGATAAGAGAATGAACTGTATATAACTTGTATGTACATTGATCTACCCATTCATCATAATTTCAGATAACTATGAGGTACCCAAGAACTTTTACATGAATACGTTAATGTTTTACGAGTTGTGCCCAGCGCCATCTGTGCTATTTGTAGTAAACATGCAACATCGGTCTTCCATAAAAATTGCTCACGCGCAGCGCACCGATTGATTTTACGTTCATACAATTGTGACTCAGTAATGCTACGATTCTTCGTTAGGTGGCGTTAGTAGTATATTTGTTTGATGTTTATTTCTTTAGGTAAACGGTAGGTCTAGGTTATTTTTGTAATGTTTTTGCTGTACACCTTTAAGTTTCTTAATTATTTCCTCGTACATTTTAGTTAGTATAATTTAGTAAAAAACAGATAAATTAACGGTATCATATGCCTCAGTTATTTTCCCTCGGAGAATGTAAAGTGAAGCGCAGGACTCAACAAATAAACCGATAAGATTGATAAGCACTCCTCGTGTAATTTAATTCTATTACTTCAAATAAATCTTATCAATACTGCTGAGCTCAGTATCACGCTGTTTGTACGCATAGTTCATCCTGTTAACTTGATGTCCTTTCGCTGACGTAAAAAATATTTTAAAATTACCCTCAGATTGACTTAATCAAGTGATACTATTGGTGTTTTATTCAAAAGTGGGCGTGTTTTTGAAAATAAGTCAAATGTGGATATGGCACACAATGTATTTTGTTAGAAGTTTTCGGACTAGTGTTGTGTGTACTGTGAAATCATGTCTGGGAGAGGTGTACCTGGCCCTAGTGGCCCTTCCACATCGATGGCCGAGCGGCGACCTCTTATGCTGGCCCTCCGCGTGCCCAGGAGCTATGGCAGCCTGTTTCCATATTACAAATTTGTGAAAGACACAGCTAATGAGACTTTTTGTAGCGAGGTAACATACCTAATTATGATTTTTATTGAATAATTCTTAATCTTTATTTAGTTGATTATGTGTTATTATCACTTATTTTTCTATACTTGTAACCTTGGTTTGCGTTTCTACACTTAACTCATTTATTTAATCGCTGTTGGTAGACTTGGTAGTAATGTTTGTTTTTATTTTTAATCTAAGTACTTTCCCAACATACGTATTTGTTTTGTGAATATGATGTAGACCTCGTTTAAAGATATGTGATGACTTTCAATCACAATGTGCTTACTAGTTCGTCCCTATTTTTACACCCTACATACCTAATTATGTATTTGAGCGGTACTGAGCGTTTTATGAACATAATTCAAAGATTTACGTTGTAAATAATATTTAGTAGTAACTTATCTGTGTTTAGCTACATTAATTAAACACGAAAAGAGAAAACTTGGTACCCCATTTTGAAACATATTAGGACACGCACGAAGAAGTTTTAGAGTTAAAGTTCGTACCAAAAATACATACATTATGATAAATACATACTCTAACAAAGTTTACACGTATACTGTGGCCGAATTTTAATCAGAGCAAGGTAGTAGTAATAAATTAGCTAGCATTAATCGTATCTCGTTACTTTGGAATCCAAAGCCGAGAAAGCCAAGACGGAGGTTGTCACATGATTTATTATTTAGCTTAATTAAAATAACTGTCCTCAATTATTACCCAATATTATTAAATAAAAAAAATGTTCTGTCTACTAATCGTTAATGTTAACCTATCTATTCTATTTCATATAAATTTATCTGACTATTTAAGTATTTTATAGACGAAAAAACATCAAAATTGGCAAACCTTCTCACACGCAACTTTTCGACGGGGTAACTGGACTAGTTTCGTGTGACACCAGGGACACATATTCACGAGCAGTAACGTGAGCTAGTACTTAGTTTTATACAACCTGATTCACATTATAATACAAAAAAAAATATTTTTATTTTAATTAGAATATTGTTGTTATTGAGTGCTGTCAAGCCGTTCCACGCAGTTTAAAATTCATCTGGCCCATATCCACCACAGAGCATCTGTCTACATGATAAATTAAATCGTATGACGGCATGACTTTAGTACCTGTATGTGTTTAAGAATGGACAGGCATAATGAGTACGGCAAATTAGTTCTTTGTAAATTAGTTAGGCTGAAATGATCGAGTCGACTTTACAAGATCATCGACCTTATTGGCTCATCATTGTTTACCGAATTTGTATTTTTGTTTACCAACTAGGGATTTCAGTTTCACGGAATTCATCTGTAGGAATTGTCGGTGCCTCATTGGAGTTTGCACTTTCGAAAATAGAAAAAAATATTAATGTTTGTAATTGTGAATAGGAAGTGAATAACGAGTTAGGTTACAATTAGAATAGGAAAAAGAGAAGTTACACGTTTGTATTTACCTACGTGTAATGCAAAATCCCCAAGTATCGATTTGAGCGGAGTTCCGAACTCCTTACAAATGATGCCAAATGAACATCAAGTTCCGCAGGCCATTTAGTGGAACAAAATTCCGCAGAATTGTGGAACTGCAATCCTTACTTATAACGGGCATATAAAATGAGCAAAAAAATCCTTATTTGTCAGTGCCAGAGAAACCGAGTTGCTATGAGTGCTGTATTGTGGTTGAATAATAAAACTCCTAAGGTAAGTAAGCAAACATAATACCTTTTATTTAATCAACCGCAAATTACGACGTAAATCCTACTGTTGCATTAAAAAGAAAGGTGTGATTAATATCCAGCTCAATCCTTAACAAATATTGCCTGAATACGGATAGATTATAAGGATTGAAAACTTCATAGGTTGGAAATCTTAACCACCGCTGTCATGGGTAAAACACTGAACGTTACATGGGTAAAACTGTACAAATTAGAAATATATAATTACTTACTTTTACTTTACAAGTTTCCTCTAAAACTAGCTCCGGTTAAATAAGCACGTGTTGTGTTTAATTATTCATTATTTGATGTATGTTATTTCAAACAGTAGTTCAGTGTGAACTTAGTACGATATAAAAATGGTTTTAGTTCAAATACGAAAGTATCCGCTGAGGCTGCTGCGTCTAATCGTGAGTATCTAATGTGTTTGTAATTATTGTTGTAATTAATAGACCCATTACTGGCGACAGGACTGATAATTTAAGTGGAGAATGGCCAGGTAGTAGGACTAGGTTCGACCGGTAACAGAACCATGATTCTGTCGATGATCGAACAATTCAAACTAATTGTGCCTTTATAAGAAGAACCAAAGATTTTTTTAAACTTTAAAACTAAAGTGGCTAAAACCTGTTAGTTACTGGCGACATGTATTGTGTTTAGTTGTTTTTTATTCCTAAAATAATAATATATTTATTGTAAACGTAAATTCAGCGTGGACTTGTGGCGTTCGATATTAAAATGGTTTTAGTTCATATTCTAAAGTATCCGCTTAGACTGCTGCGTCAAATCGTGAGTACCTATCTAATATTTATAATGATTATTGTAATAAATTGTGCTGTAATTAATATTGCGTTATTAAAGTGGCTTAATCAATTTATAACTAGAGATATAACTGTTATTTGAAGTAGATCGCCAGATTTTTTCAAAAGTCAGTAGTCAGTAGGAGGATAATATGGGTCTGTGGAATTAAACAAAAATCTGCCTTTTAGAAGGAGAATATAACATCTGATAACGCAGGTAATATTAGACACAAACGCCCGAATCCTGAAAAGCTACTCAATTGTATCATGCCATCTCTGTCATTTTACAATGAATTTGTTGTCACAGAACTGTAAGTAAGCGTGATTTTAAAAATATTTTAATTAAAGACCAAATGGCTACTAATTAGTGCAATTACAATACACTACATTGTTGTTGAGTCAACATCGTTTATCATACTCGTATGCGCCATCACTTCAGTTATTCAGTTATCACGTAAGACTTGTTCATTTCGGGTCAGGACAATAATAAAATATCAATTTGTTTAAGTGCTCGTTACTATGCTTCTACAAGCTTGGCACCAACATTTCCTATCATTTCTAGATATTTCCTACAGTTCTATAACAAATTGTTTTAGTATAATTAATAGTATCGATCGTACAGGCCTTGTTTTTAGAATTTGGTGTATTTTATTTTTGCTGTAGGCTGATCTTGTTTAACCTCATCTATCTCATTATCCCATTTTGAATTTAGGAATCTTACTTTCTTGAAGTTTCTTAAAAGAGTTTAACCATTTAAATTTACTTATAAAATATCACAGTTTCTAGCCTTTATTTACTGGCCGGCAGAAATATTGAGAATCCAACGTCCTTACGTAGCTACGCAGATTGGCGAATGCTTCTAAGAAAAACGTTTGTACAGAAGTTTTTGACTTTTTATTTTCTCATTTGCGAGAAGTCTGTACCGACTCAGGTACGGTTTCATCTATTCTTATTTCACACAGAGTAACGAACCCTTATTCAGTGTTGCCAGTATGATATACTACATAATAATATAGCTGGAGATTGTAAGGTTCTGTTACGTCGTGGTTTATTACTTCTAATATATGAAACAATTTTTAATTAAAAACCCACAACATACCTGTGCTGAAAAGTATTTTATTAAAGAGATTCTGAATCGGTGTATACTGTATGTATACCTTTGTATAAGCTTGTATTTTTGTTATGAGACCCTAATCCTGCCTCTAATCATTCTCATGTCTCATCTCTTGTGGAAAGTGGATTTGTTTTGCTTTAAGTTGTTAATAAAGGCAGTGAAAGCCCTGTTTATTAATCTACAGTTGTGATCTATGCAATAATAGCTGCCTTTTATAGTCTGTGGCCCGTGGCTAATGCCTATAGAAGCGCGCCCGCATCCACATACCTACTGAATAAGGTAGTAGATACCTAAGTACGATTGTTTATGTAAGTCGCAAGCTATCTTTGTTTATCCACGCGTATTTTTAGATAGAAGTTAAACATTTAAAATTGACTCTGATATTTTGCTCTTTCTAAATGACCTAGCACAATTTCTAGGACATTTTGAGAATAAACTAAGTAGCTACACACGTAAAAATGGTTCTGTTAATTTACGGAAAGGTTAATTTTTCCAACACATTTTTCATGCAATTAATAAAGGGGTTGGAATTTATCCGCTACTAAGTTGAGCAATTTTTACTGAAATACCTTACCCTTGCGAAAATGAGGTTCATTGTGTTACTGTTACGGGGTTCTTATTAAAAGGTCAGAGCAGTAAGTACTCCCTGTAAGGCTGTAACTGAGCAATAAAATGTGTCAAAATATGAGCTTACTCGCTTACCATTTGCCCACTCGTACCAGTTTACGCATGGTCTTTGAAAATAGCTGAGGTCTGAGAATAAAGTACTCGTGCATGTAATGATGTTGCCTACATACGTTGAACATCTTTCATAATAAAGATGTGATAAAATATTCCAGAAGACCAGAAGTATGGGAAGACAAGTTTACCCATCAGATAAGAAGTTCTCAGAATACGATAAAATATATCAACGCTAACGATTGTGAATGTGCGTACCTATACTTAGACCGACTAGGTTAGCTATGTTACTAGTTTTCATTGCATGATTAGCGCCGGGGTCATTAAATATCTATTTTCGCTCGCAGTGGTAGTTAGGGTAAAATTATTAGCTTGTGTAAAACTTACAATTATTGGTTATCAAACATTTTTTCCGTTTCCTTCAAAAACAAGACTAGAAACGAAATGTTATTTTGAAAACAGGTATTAAATGTATGTACCTACATAGGTAATGTCAAACGAAGTTTTCTCGGAATGGAAATAGTCGTACTCAGTTACTGCAAACTCGCGCTTAGAAAATATTTACCAGTTTTCGACGTTTTCCCTACCGCCAACTAGACGGACATATCAAATCAAAAATATGATGTAGCTACTTTATTTACAAAATATTAACACTACTTTGTGGGAACCGGTTGATAACTTAAAATAAACTCACATAGTTTGTTTATTGCACGTATTTTACCA